AAACAATGAATAGCTGATGCTTAGGGTTTTGTCAGAATACTGGTCCACCTGTCCAGGAAAAAAAAGGAGAAAGATAAGCTACAGTAGAGAGACTGGAGGTGGGCTAGATGGAGGGGAGCATGTTTATAGGCTTTTTTTTTTTAATTAATGGCTCTATCGCAGTGGTTCTCAACCTGTGGGTCGGGACCCCATTTGGGGTCGAACAACCATTTCACGGGGGTCGCCAAACAAGGCTGTCCACCATTTTTTCCCCCTTTTCTTTGGCTACGCCCCTAGCACCCGGTGATGTATAAGTGGTTGGGGATCACCACAACATGGGGAACTGTATTATGGGGTCGCAGCATTAGAAAGGTTGAGAACCACTGCTCTATCGTAACCATTCCCATCACCATGGAGCCATTTGGTCAGCTCCAACATGCTCCCAAATTCCAAATGTGGTCCCAGTGTGGAGAAGCTTTTTAATGGTTAATAATGAGAGCTCTGTTCTGTCCCCAGTTCTGGAGGCTGTAAACCTGCCTTTACCTATTCCTTTATCCTGTGGGCTTTCCATTGGCCTCTGATAAATCAGTAGAATTTGAGCTGACCCATGGATATACTTTAAATATTTTCTAGTAGAAAAATGGAATAGAAACATTTAAAGTGATTTAGTTTTTCTTTAAATCAATGTACACATTCAAAACAGTAATGTAGAATGAAGGTGAGCAAATACAAATAAATAGAAGAACTGAAAAGCTACGGTAAACTGCTTATGCCCTAATTCTAAAATTCAGCTTGAGAGTGTTTCTTAATTAATCCATAATTCAGGAGGAACAGAACCTAGGGTGCAGTGGACCAGAGAAACAATAAATGAATAGAATAAGTGAATTCCTGCTATCTCTGCTCACATTTAGTTCTTATCCCTAAATAGTACTGAGAAGCCCTAGCAAATTTGGCAGCTCTCTTTCAAATTGTGGCCCATTAAAACCATGGACCACAATTTCACAAATGACTTATCATGCATTGCAAGAATGGGTTGTCATGGGAAATTCAGAAAGACAGAGCACAACGCCGAAGAGAAACAACCAGCCAATTATTCAATAATTGTTGGGTATCTGCTGTACAAGAATGAGGAATCCCAAACAATGGGAAAGCAAAGATTCTTATATAGAAGATGCAAGATGCTGAAGCCAAGCAGCTCATTGTCTGTGTACTTATGTACCTGGGATGACTACTACTTTTAGGCAAAATAGGCCTTTCAGGAGAGCAGCCCATGGAATGTTGAGACCATCAGCTGATCAGGAATTAGAAGGCTTGGTTTCTCTAGGTTGCAACTCCCTTGACATTGTGTTGTGAGCTGGTGAGGAGCCTCTACTCTTTGGTTTAGAAATGATTGCAGGCGCTTTGTCTGGGACATGAAAAGTCAACCCGGGTTTGATGGGGTTAGTCAAAGAGGTGAACTGGGTTTGATCCTAGTCATATCTAAAAGAGGGAGAGGATATAGTCTCTGTTTTCCTTGTTAAGTTTATTTCTCTATCGCATGAGTGAAACAAAGAATAAGCAAAGTAAGTCAACCCAGAGAGTGTCTCATAAAACCATGTGTTCATGTTGCCCTACCCCAATCTGTAGGAGCTGACTCTAAATTCAGGCAGACCCTTCTTCTAATATTGCTGTCTGGCCGCATAAAAGCAGAGTTGGAAGGACTGTCAGGGACCATATCACCAAATCTCTTGTAGTGCCCAGTATGACTACTGTACCCTACTGGACATCCAGCTTCTGCTTTAAATCTAATAAAAGTTAATATTTTTCTTCTTCATTTTCTGGGGGCTTAACATAATTAGCTTTTTACAACAGCTTCTTACAGCATTTGGATTCCTGATTCATCACATTTGTCATTATCCATGTCTTAAGTGGATCTGTCATGAATAGGATACAGGTATAGTTACTTCACTTCTGGAGAGAAGATTCTTAGTCTGTATGTACTTTTAGATTGACAAAGTAGGAAACAAAACATTTAAAATGTTTAAAGGTAGAGAAATATTGCTTAATGAGCTATCTTTAATATTTTTGCCTTTCAAATTAATAGCAGTAAAAACTATGTCAGGGAACTAATCCCATCAAATTGATGAGAAGTTCCTTTGTTTTCATTGGAAATATTTTTCCTATTGGAATCAATACCACTCAGAAGTTTTAAGCTTTGGCTGGTGTTCATAATGGAAAACTAAAACTCAACCATTCAGTTTAATTTCTGATTCGTTTTTTAACCCCTAAGACATATAAAATAAAATTTTCAGCATCAGCAGCAAATGTAGCTAACTTTGATAACAGCAGATGCCAGACCTTTAACCTCAACTATCTTTATGATAACGTTTCACATTTTCAGTGTTTATGCTATTGAACTAAAGGAAATCAATAGTTAGCAAATAAGAAATAATAATTGTTTTGAAAGAGTGAAGCTTGAAGCTGGATTTTCTTACTTTTAATACTCTTCAGAATTTCCTAGTAATCTTCTTTCTACAGAAAAAAGACTTCTACAGTATTTCTCTAATTAATTTATAGGTATTGTAGAATTAAAGGTAGCAACTTTTATATTATTGTGAAGGCAGGGAGTGCTGTACTTTCTTTCTTCAACTAGGCATCTCTCCATAATTGGGTATCTTCTCTGGATATCCAATTTGAAGAAAGTCCCATGGGAATATTTTCTTTTAATTTTATAAAAATGTGGGAAGCCAGAAAGGTTACAGACATCCAGAAAAATGATTAGAAATGAAAGACCAGAGATAAGAAGAGATTGAACAACCATTTGTCTGAAATGGTATAGGGTCTCCTGTTTGAGCAGGGGGTTGAACTAGAAAACCTTCAAAGTCCCTTCCAATTCTGTTATTCTATTATTCAGATATTCATGTGCATCCTGGCCTTCTTATACAGATAGTCCTCAACTGACAACAGTTCGTTTAATGACCCTTCAAAGTTACAATGCCACTGAAAAAGGCAACTTACCACCATTTTTCATATGTATGACCGCCGCAGCATCCCCATGGTCACATGATCAATATTCAGATGCTTGGCAACCAATTCATATTTATGACGGTTGTAGTGTCCCAGGGGTCATGTGATCCCCTTTTGAGACCTTCTGACAAGCAAAGTCAATGGGGAAACCGGATTCACTTAACAACTCTGTTACTCATTTAACAACTGCAGTGATTCCCTTAACAACTGTGGCAAGAAAGGTCGTAAAATGGGGCAAAACTCACTTAAAAACTGTCTCACTCAGCAAAGCAACCAAAATGTTGGGCTCAATTGTAAGATGAGGACTACCTGTAACTAGGAGGAGTACAACTCCACAACTGAAGCCTAATAATAATGCTACCTTTTCACACTTCTTCGAGGAAAGAAAATCGAAAGCTGTTACTTTTACATCAATTGGAGTTAGAACAGTTGGGGGAGGGGGGAAGATTTTTTCTGACACACAAGGACTTATGTTACCACTCTCCATTTCCCCAAAAAGTGGCTTTTTGCCACATAGGCCTTCCATCCTTGTGCTGAAGCCCCACACCTAACACTCCTCGCCTGGGCAGAAGCCACTTCAAGGGAGACTGGAAAGTCTAGCTTACCCTGTCGTCTCCGGAAATGGAAGCCGTTTAATGGAAGGCAGGGGCCAGTTGTGGAGGAATGGGGGGGGGGGAACCGTACAAGCCAACTAAGCTTCAGAGCTGCATACTAACTGGGAGATGAAAGAGCTAGAGGCCTTCTGAAGTATGTGCTGTCTCAATGATTAATGGGGGTGAGGGAAGGGTGAGGCCCAGCCCTTCGTATACTACAAGATGGCAAAGTGATTCTAAGAACAACAGAGCAGTGTTCATGGAGGAGAGGTAGGCTGCCTTCGCCAAGAAAGTCTCCTGGTGCGGTTTTTAAAAGTCTCTTTATTTCCAGTATCAAAACATTACATTAAAATAGATGCCGAGAGCCAAGCGATCGTTAAAAATAAACCAACAGTGATGTGTAACATGCAGTGAAAGTGTGCCTCGCAGCAGCCAGTTGGTTCTCCTCCTTCTAATGCATTCTTTTCAATTCTGCTTCTGATAGTGAGACAATGACCCCAGCTTGCAGCCATTTGCTCAGCCAAGAATACCAGGATGCAGGTAAAGATTCTACAGCACCCCTGTTTCACAAGAGATGGTTTGTGTGTGTTTCTTTTAAGGTGTTTAAAATACAGAGTTGTACTTTCGGATTTTACCAGGTGCTTTAGAAAGGCCTTGTTCTCCACACAAATCGAATACTCTCTCTCAAAACAAAATGGGCCTTTAAGGCTAAGTTGGTTTAGAACAGAGTTGGCTGCTTACATCCTAGGCACTTAAGGTCAGCTAGGGTTGGGGAGAAAAGGGGGGGAAGGTAGGAAAATAAACAACCAGCTATCTCTGCTGCAGAAGCATTAGTCTTGTCAGAAGATGTTTATAGGAAGCAGATAATAACAAAACAGGAGAGTGGGTTTAAGAGGATATTCTAAACTGTGTTGGGATTTTTTATTTTATCTGGGGGTATTCTCAGTAAAAAGAATTTAGACATAGCATAGCTTGCTATCCATCCCTGCAGATGTTCCTTTGCAGTGACCAAATTCAGGGAAGTCTTCAGGTAAAATTTCATTTCAGTTGAACTCCACTAGTTCCTCATGAATGGACAAGGACATTTCCTAGCACAGTGGTGGCGAACCTAAGGCATGGGTGCCAGAGGTGGCACTCAGAGCCATCTCTCTGGGCACGCGCGCCGTCGCCCCAGTCCTAGGCCTTCACCTGGGTTTTATAAAACCTTTTCACTTTAGGCCTCAGCAGCCGTGTGCAAAAAAAAAAAAGGTTCAATCAATCAATCAATTTCAACTTCGGAGGAGGGGGGGAAAGATCTTGCAAAGTTGGAATTGATTGATTGAACTTTTTAGTCCCACCCAGTCTGCTGTTATCACCGCAGCCACACCCACCCAATGGGCCACACCCACCCAATGGGCCACACCCACCCGGCACCCGACGATGCATAAGTGGGTTTTGGGTTGCAGCTTGGTCACTCGGTCTCTAAAAGGTTCGCCATCACTGTCCTAGCATCTTCTGTGGCCTGGGATTATTCCTCAGTGAAAGACACCAGAAGGAAGGATTAAAAGTTTGAAAAGGGAAAAAAAAGAAGACATGTAAGTCTACATTTTCACTGAGGTTTCTGGGTAAACACTTTGAAGCTCCCTCAGCCCTAAACAACTTGCCAAGAGAAGAGAACTTCCATCATATCTTCACTCTTGTCAGACTTTTAAGAAAGGGAGGAAAGAGTTAATTCTCCTACCTGCCGCTGCTACTGCTTCAATTCCTGGGGACTAGTTTTTGCTAAAAGGCCCCCATTGCTTATTCTGCCCTTGGTTACATGCATGTTCTGGTGAACAATAAAGGGCTGTCTGCAGTGGTGGGTTCAAATATGTGAACAACCAGTTCTCTGTGTGGATGCCGCTTCTGGAAGTCCATTCTGGGCCTGGGCAACAAAAAATTAGCTACTGGTTCTGCTGAACTGGTGCGAACTGGCTGAATCCTATCACTGGTTGTCTGTGCTTGCCCATTGAACTTGTAAAGATCCCTGCCATTAGGGCAAGATCTTTAGTAGCAAAGGGAGGTTCCACCCTGTAGATAAAAAGAATAAAAAGGAAGGCCCTGAGCTTCTCAAATAGGCTAGGCAAAAAAGAGTGAGGCTTGGAAGTATCCAATTTTAATTACTTTTTTTAATTTTAGGCAAAGTAATGCCTGGAAAAGGAAAGTAACTCAGATGAGACTTCCTTCCTCCACCTGGGGGCAAATGGCTGCTTCTGCTACTGAATGGCTGAGATCCAGTTTCACATCTTTCATAAAAGTATATTAGAAAATGTGTTTCATGCAAGAAACAGATCAGATGATGATGATCATTATTATTATTATTATTATTGTCTGTTGCACAGTCAGCCAGATGTTTAGACTGGATTTGGCATTTTTATCCACCTATTGAGCCCTTCCCAAGGATAGGCAGATGTTGTGGTTTGATTGTTTTATTATTATTACTATTATTAAAAATCAAAACAGTCTTTCCTTGAGTAAAAAAATCCAACAGTGGCTTCTACTTTTCCCTACCAATATGTTTTTCTTCAATACAATTAAATAAATAGGAAATAATGGGTGGGCAGGGAGGGAGGGAGGGAGGAATATTGTTGGTTTCACTTAGAGGTATTCGTTTTAATGAGATAATAGGACTGTAGCAATTTCCCCTGCTCTGCTTCCGTCCAGGCAGCTCTCACAGATGCTTAAGATTTACAGGTCCCTGAGAATCTCCCTGAGGCACAGGATGTGTGGTTAAATCTGTGTAAATGGGATACGAGTTGGATGGCCCAAGCTGGGGATGGCTTGGGATTTCAGTAGCACAGCTGTACTCCAGGTTTCCAGAGGAGTAATCAGGGTAGCTGAAGAAAGAGTCAGCCCCGGGCATATTTCCCAGGTAATTTTCTCCCATTGCTCTTGGGCTCCTTTGCAGAACTGGAGGTCCATAAGGATGGCTTTCTCCCGGTCCAAAGAAAGGGCCGTAGTCCAAAGAGACTGAAGTTACAGGGCTGTTACAGAGAGGGCCTGTGTATCCTGCTGAACTGTCAAGCTCTTCCAAGGATTTGCTGCATGAACTCGATGGGACCATCTCGTAATCAGCCTCCCCGTGCCCATAATAGTCACCCACTTCAGGGCTGTTATTGGGAGATGCCAAGATGGTGCCTTTGACTCTGCTATCTTTCTTGTACTTCATTCGTCTGTTCTGAAACCAGATTTTGATTTGTCTCTCGGAAAGCCTCAGAAGCTGGGCCATTTCCAATCGGCGGGGCCGGCAGAGGTACCTGTTAAAATGAAACTCCTTTTCCAGTTCCACCAGCTGCGTTTGGGTGTAGGCTGTGCGAATTCTCTTGGAAGAGGAGAAACTTGATGGAGAGCTGCTGTCTAAATAAATGGAATGAACATTCAGTTCAGCTTGAGCCCTAACCATTCTGCATTCTGAACCCATTCATCACCTTGCAGAATATTCATCCTACAGAAATCAACACAGAAACAGGGCATGTCATGTAACAACCACACAACGTTGTTCACACCCATGTATGTGTATTCACTCTGCACATAATTGAACGATGAATGTGTTCGTGTGGTGTTTTAAACCAAACTAATGGCTTAGCATGAAAACCACCAACAGATGCTGTTCACTCTTGGACTAAAAAGCTAGGAAACAAGTTTGTGACCATTATTTCATATACATTTACTGGGCCAGCTAAGTGCTGCTAGCCAAAAGTAATAAATAGTATTAGCCAAAGTTTTCTCCATACAGAATTTGTTTAGACTTCAACTTACAACCACAATTGCGATCAAAATTCCCATTGCTATGAAGGTGGTCATTAAGTGGGTCAAACCTGATAAGTTAAACACTGGCAAGCTGACAGCCCAGGTTCGAGACCTGAGCATTGCACAATAGTGTGAGCTCTTATTACTTGCTCCAGCTCCTGCCCACCTGGCAGTTCGAAAGCATGCAAATGCGACTAGATAAATAGTTATCACTTCACCTCAGTGGGAGGATAACAGTGGGAGGATATATATACCTTGGCATATAGTCACGCTGGCCACAGGACCATGGAAAGTGACTTCAGACAATGCTGGCTTCCTCAGCAAAGAAATGGAGATGGACGGAGAGATGAATACAACTAGACAGGAGGAATCTTTACCTGGTTTTAATCCACAGTTGGGCTTTTCTGCCCCAAGCAAATTGTGTTTTGTCAAGCAACTCACTGTAGTTATTCAGTGAATCTGGCCTCCTCCATTGATTTTGCTTGTCAGAGGCCAGTTGGGAAGGTTGTAAAAGGCAATCACGTGACCACAGGATGCTGCGATCATTGTAAGTGAACGAGAGTTTGCCAAGTGCCTGAATTTTGATCATGTAACCACAGGAATGGTGCCATGGTCATAAGTGTGAGGACTGGCCTTAAGTAACATTTTTGGTGCCGTTGTGCTAAACTAATTGGTTGTAAGTGGAGGACTGACTGTAGATTGTCTAGAACAGGGGTCTTCAAACTTGGCCCTTTTATGACTTGTGGACTTGAGCTCCCAGAATTCCTCAGCTAGGTGGGCCTGGCTGAGGAATTCTGGGAGTTGAAGTCCACAAGTCATAAAAGGGCCAAGTTTGAAGACCATTGGTCTAGAAAGTCTCAGCCAAAAGTTCCTGATGCATTCAGATGACTGGATAATTTGAAAACAAGGTTGAATCCTAGCCATATCACTGGAGATGGAGATAGAAGCCAGAAATCATAAGCAGATACAGGTAGTCCTCAACTTATAACTTCATTTAGCGACTGTTTGAAGCACTGAAAAAAGTGACTTATGACCATTTTTTGCACTTATGACCATTGCGGCATCCCCATGGTCACATGATCAAAATATCAGATGCTTGGCAACTGACTCATATTTATGACGGTTGCAGTGTCCCGGGGTGATATGATCATCTTTTACAATCTTCTGACAAGAAAGTCGATAAAGAAGCCAGTTTTATTTAACAACCATGTTACTGGCTTAACAATTGCAGTGATTCACTTAACAACTGTGGCAAGAAAGGTCGTAAAATGAGGCAAAATTCACTGAACAACTGTCTCACTTAGCAACAGAAATTTGGGGCTCAATTGTGGTCATAAGTCAAGGGCTACCTGTACTTTCCACTTTACCTTTTGAGCCCAACAAGGTATCATTAGAATGTACAGTATGTCTAGAATGTATGTCTGGATGGATGGATGTATATGTATTTTGTAAGAACTGAAGCAGAATTCAAAATAACTTGTTTGCAAATATTTCCAGTGATACCAAAGGATCTCCCCTCTTCGGAAGATATCTTGTCCCGGTACACTCTGCAAAGAATGGTTGTTTGTTCATTTTCATCATACTTCAGAGACATCATGAAATTTGAAAAAGAGCTCTCTAGTTGAATTAGACCTGATTTAGTCATATTCAGATTTTTGCTGCCTTTGATCCTACTACAGTAGTAGCATAGAACCATCATAGGCAATGGCCACTGGTCATTTCATTTTTCATAAATTTGTCTAGCCCCGACACATTTTAAAGTCATCAAAATTATTGCCCATAAATACATATTCATTTAGCTAAACCAGAATAACTGTATATCACTAATGTCACACCTGCGATATAATCTATGATTGGATGGGATTAATATAACTTGTTTTAAGAGGAAAAAAAGCCAAGGACAAGGTTATAAACTGGTGCCAAAGAGCCAGGAGCAATGATAGACAACCAGCATTGGAGAAAAGTGTTTTTCAGAATTCATTCGTGCTTTATTAAAATGGAAAGTTTCTAATAAAAGATTGAAGCTGGAAACTCTTCAGTACCATAAAGGAACTTTCTGGGTTCTTATGAATATCATTTTTTTTTAAAAAAAAAACCAAAACTTTTTTCTGTTTAATCTATTTATTTATACTTTCAGTGTTCTATCCCACTGTGTATCTAGATCGTGTTATTTGTTCCTACACTATTAATGAGTAGCTAATCAGAAAGATTTTTCAAAATATAATACAGATAGCCCTCAAATTATGACTGGAATTAAGCCTGGAATTAAGATCTTCAGTTATGACAGTCATTAAGCAGGTCATCACTAGAAGGCACCCAATTTTATGACCAGTCATTATATAAACGTGGTGGTCATCAAGTGTACACCACAAACATTAAGTAAATGGTCACTGAGTGAACCGTTCTCCACAATGGGCATGTTTTGCTGGAAACTAGAAGTAAATGCTGGTTACCAGAAAAACTGCTATAAATCGCAGTCACGTGGCTGTGGAATGCTGCAAACAGCTGTAAATGGGGGCCAGTTCTGAGCATCCAAAATGTGATCATGTGTCTGCAGAGGTTGGGGTGGCCATGTTCAACTTCGGATCATAAGTAACTTTTGGGGGTCTGTCGGAACTTCAAATGGTTGCTAAGCAACTGATAATATGTTGAAGACAGCCTGTGCTTAATATATATATATATATATATATATATATATATATATATATATATATATATATATATATACACATGAGATATATATATGGGTCTTTGGTTGTTCGGGTTTTCTCCCGTGTAAAATTGGAAGTGTCTTGGCGACGTTTCGACGAAGTCCCATTCGTCATCATCAGGCTGGTGCTTTCAGCTTCGTGCTTCGAGGAGCTCCTCGAAGCACGAAGCTGAAAGCACCAGCCTGAAGATGATGAATGGGACTTCGTCGAAACGTCGCCAAGACACTTCCAATTTTACGCGGGAGAAAACCCGAACAACCAAAGACCTACATACAAACACCCGCGAAAACCTCAGAAAACATACATATATATATATATATATATATATATATATATATATATATATATATATATATATATATATATATAGTTCAATGATGCAATCTTCGATCTCTATGTGTGTGTGAGATAAAAATATTTCATCCATAGGAGTATTACTTTACAGTTTTTTCTGTGAACAATTAAAAGGAATGTCTTATTAGAGCAAGTGGTAAAATAAAATGTATATCTTATCAAATTCCTCTCAGTGGCCTCAATTCTAGATTCAAGTAAACCTAGAATTGTGCAATTTTAGGTGCAAGTAAATAAAAACATGGAAGGGCTTTCCAAGAAGTTTGCCAGACACTCGTCTAGAGCACGCATCTTAATTTAGCTGCTAAAGCTAAGAAGCTACACCCAGTAACGCTGCTACCATAGATCTGGATGGGCCAGCACCAAGAAACAGTATATTAAGGTTTGCTTAGCTCTTCTGAAAACCAATGAGTGCAAACAGGTGAAAGAAATGCGTAGAGTGCAGCATAGGAACAGTTACTTAGAAAGTTATTGTCTATGGCCCAGGGGTAGGCAACCTTGGCTCTTTTATGACTCGTGGACTTCAACTCCCAGAATTCCTGAACCAGCTTGGCTCAGCTTGGAAACCTCTCTCTTTTGCCTCAGCATGGGTGGCTCAGGAATTCTGGGAGTTGAAGTCCACGAGTCATAAAAGAGCCAAGGTTGCCTACCCCTGGACTCTATGCCAACCTCCCCCAACTTGCTACCCTCCAAATATATTGGACTACAGCTCCCAGAATTCCCATGGAGGAGGAGGTGACAGTGAAAAGAAAGTACCTGAAAAAGGAAGGTTGCTTTTCTGCTTGGCACTGTGTCTTGTTTCTTTCATCCAAGGAAAGACTTGTTTTGGTACGTGGCCGCTACACGATCTGCTACTGCTACCATTGGTGGTGGTGATGTCACAAGGACTGGAAGAGGTAACCAATGACAGCTGCCGTAGCCTAGAGGTTCCTAGAGGTCTCAGGGATGCAATTTGGGAACCTTTGGAGCCCTCTGAAGACCCCGTGGGTATTTCTGACTCCAAGGATATCGATGAGGTTGGAAAGTGCTGCTGGCTAAAGGAGTGCCTTCTGCTGAGATCTCGGCACCAGCTATCTTCTGAGGCCTGTTGGTCATCTTCCTGCAGAGCCTTGTGCATGTCCGTTCTTGTCAGATGGAAGGAGTGGACTGAAGGGGTGGGGAAGGAGACGGAGACCTTGCAATGGGTGTGAAAGGAATCCAGAGAGACTTCCAGTTCTTACTGCTGAGAAAAGACCCTCCTCAACCACGTGCTCCAATAGCTAAGGGAAAGCCCCCTAAGTAGGCAGGAAGGACGCTCCTCAGCCTTCCTTAGGCAACGCTGCTAAAAAAGGAACAGGAGGCACCTTAAACAGAGACAGCCCGTTTGGGTTTCAGTGTTTCTGAGTGGAAACAAATGCATGCCTCTCCCAGAATGATGATCTGCAAAGGTGGTGCTGAAGATGCACTAAAGAGTTGACATCTGTAACTGCCTGGTGATGATGAATTTATTTTATTATTTAGCGTTTGACTGGGCAGGATTCAATACCAGCAAGCAAAATGTCTGTGCTTTTGGGCTCTGAACACTGTCTTGCAGTTATATTCAAAAAGTGATTTTTGGGGGGCAGTTAGAATAATGTTCACTTAATTTGTCATAATAAATAACAATAATCGACTCCATATCCTCTGGGATCTCCTCCCATTTGCTCAGATCTTAGTTGCTATTTTTAAAAAAGGAAAAGAAATCCTTCCTACCCCACAGTTGGTTTTTTTCTCTATCTCTCTCTTTTTTAAAAAAACTTCTCATGGATTTTTGGAAGTGGTAAAAATCTAGCTTCTCTGGAGAATCTTTGGGCATTAGCTGTGGATACCCATCAGTACCAAGATTAGTATATCAATATATTAAAGACATGTTGTTATATTGATTAAATATGTGTGTGTTTGTGTGTGTGTGTGTGTGTGTTTGTGTGTGTGTGTGTGGTCTGTATACATTTGATAAAGTTTTACTGTTGATAGGGTCCTATTTATTCTGGATTCCTGCCAAGATCATAAGGGCTCAGTAATCTATTAAGTTCTCAAATTCTCTGAGAAAAGTTGCACATGCTGCACCTGAATAACAAAATATGGTCCTGGCATTTCGACCCCTTTGGAATATTCATTTCACTGCCCATCTTATCTTTGTTGATAAAGGTGCAGATAATGGCTGCTAAAAGATGCTGCCTGAAGCTAAAGAAACTTTAGGATATGAAGGAGAGGATAGATACAATGCTAAGCCTAGTTGCTTGCAACAGGATAGCTTTTTTTTCCTAAATCCCCCAGCCAGCAATGTGTTGTGCTGTTGGTGAAAATTTCTCTCCATTATTCTCAAAGATCTTTCTGCAAACTGCTTGCCTTGCAGGGGAGGGGGTATGGGTAGGGAACCATGGGGGAGAGGAAAGGGAAGGAAGAATAAATTGTAATGCTCACAGAGGAACCCAGCCATCAATTCCATTATTCCCTAACCAGAAAAAAAATCTGCATTTTATTTCAGCAAAGGGGTGGTCTCTGGGAGCAAGAAACCTGTAGCTATTTCAGTCTTGCTTGAACTTCAGCTCCAATCATGCTGAACTTCAGCTACAGAGTGCATGATTAGAAGTGTGTGAGTGTGTGTGTGTGGGGGGGGTACATCCTGATGGAAAGGGTACTTCAGTGACATGTTTGCAAACCTGCTTTTTACATTCACCATTTACATTTTTAAGTGTGTAAATTTAAACGTTAAAATTATAAATTGGAATTGGTGGTCCCTGCTCACCGGCAAAGTAATGCACAAAGCAGACTTTAAGAGGCACGTCTCCTGAGTTCATGATCAGGAAAGACTTTTTTTTTTGGGGGGGGGGGTTCTGGGAATGAGAAGTGGACCATGGAGGTGTCAAAAGAAGAACAGTGCAAAAGCAGACAGTCTGTATATGCCCTGCAGCCAGGAGATGAGCTCCTGTCTAGCCAACACAACAGGGAGAGTGCAATGGGGGGCAAAAAATCAGTATTTCATAACTACTATTGATGCCTGTGTTAGAAGTAATGGCTTGTTTCATGTAAAAATTGAAATCATGTTTGGAATAAAAGCCTTGTCATTAATACAGCATGTATAGTAAACTGGCTGGCTTTGAGTGAAGGAAAATAAGCAGGAGGTATTTTTCTAACACTGTTCCTCCACCTATCACCCATCCAGGATAAATAAATTATTTAGTGGGAAAGGGATGGTGATACTGGCGGTGTCGATATTTAAAATAAAACAATATTCTCTAAGGGGCAACTGACCCTATTGGGGAAATCATTGGTTCCTACAAAATGTTGACAGGCATACAAAGAATCTCATAAAGAACACATTAGGAACTAAAAATATTAGGTTGATGGCTGAGCTATATAAGAAGTTCTGACTGTACTGATAGAAAAGGATTTGGTCAGGATTTTCTGAAGCAAAATTATTGGCAAAATAGCTGAGTGTGCTGCATACGTGGGGCAAAACTTTTTCCAAGCTACCATACAACTCGAGACATAATTAATGTATTCATTTATTTACCCTGCTGATTAAAAAAAAAATAGCCAAGTAACTTTGTAACCCTGTTGCCCATGTCACTAGGAATTTGATTCACCACTTTCATCTGACAAAGCCCATTCATTTTTAAAACTGTTTGCTAATTGTAAGGATTAAAACTTTTTTTTTAAGTCAGCAGGCAGTATTTTCACTCTTTTCATATTACATCCTGGCAAACAGGTTTTCTTACCCACATGGATAGAATGGTGTAAAAGACTGAAACATAAAACAACATCTGAATGTGTTCAATGCATAGGCACTTACTCTTCCTGTGCCACACTCTCCAGCAGCGTGTGATAATTTAAACTTTGAGAAATGCTCAGACTCAACTAATAGGTGGCTAGTTAACTTGCCTCTAACTGCTAACCCTGCATTTGAGGTACAAAAACTCAGAATGTAAGGCAGCTGATTGATGGGAGCAGATGGCTAATGTATGTTGGGCACAAATCAGCAACTTTTCATCGTGAATGTAATATTGAAAAAGCAACAGCAAACTTGCTTTGCATTGATTTCAATAGTTCCTAACTTCCTTTTTTGCATTGCACAATGGCTGCAATTTGTATATGTTTGTGTGTTTGTGTGCATGTGTGCGTGTAATGTGGCTATTCACTCAGACTGATAAAATATCAAGTGTGTGTGTGATATTCTATCAATTCAGGTGAATAACCACATTGTGTACACAGACAGTCCTTAATTCTATAGGTTGAACAATAGTATCTCAGAGAAGAACAGTTAAGAAAAATTCATGCAGTGTAATAGTTATGATGACGATAATGATGATGGTAGCAACAATAGACGTCTATAGGTTTCACACATTAAGTATAAGAATTTAGTTCTACTACCATTCAATGTAAATTATTACAAATAATTAAAACTGCAATCTTGAGTCCACTTTTCTAGGAGTAAATGTCACTAACGCCAAAGGAACTTACTTTAGAGTAGGTATAGATTGGATTCACTATTCATTTTCCTAATGCAACCTTTAAAAAAAGCAGAGGGGGGAGAGGGAGAGAGGGATCCTGCATCGTATTTTCCACACCTGCACAGGTAGCCAGAGATTTTGGAAATTCCAAGCAGGAGAGCCTGTGGGAAAGACCTGCCTTTTCTGGGCTGAGCCTTGGTCACAGGAGTCATAGAATGCCCCTGTAGATGGATGTGTTACTTATTCCACGTTTCAAGCCAATAGCTATACTATAGGCAAGAATTTTCCTAGGTCTTTCTAAAGCTTTTCTGGATCATCCTACACCAGACTGTTAGAGAATACCTTGCTTAACCTTGTGATGAAGAGGATTTAGATCCATTTATCTACCGCTTTTTAACTCACCCTTACTTGCCTGAATGAACTTTTCTACGAAATGATCAGAAACCCCTTGGAATCAGAACAGAGAATTTGGAGAGGGGGCAGGAGAGAGAGAGAGAGAGAGAGAGAGAGAGAAACTTTGGTGACACATGTACAGATCTGCTTAGGGATGATTTATAGCAGATTAACGGAGGTATATTCAAGAGGACGCTCCTAGGAGACAGCACAATATAAGACAAAAATATTTTCAAGAGGAGATCTCCTCGCCCGTCAGCCAAGCAACCCCAAACCGGTTTTCGTCCTTATTTTTTAAAACTTCCTCACTTCCCCCCCCCCCCATCCCTCCCTTGGACTTTATTATTATTATTATTCGACCTGGATTTCATCCCATCTCGCTCGCGCCGTTTCCTCTTGCACTGACCCCCCCCACCTGAACTAATTGTAACGGGCGAGAATCCACCCTTTGCTTTCAACAGAAGATTTGTTTTCTCCTTCCATCACCCACGGCTTCTTTTTCTTCTTCTTCTTCTTCTTTTTTTTTTTAACATTTCGTTCTAGAATTTTGCCAGCGACCTGACAGGCATTTGGGGAGGACGATGGATAGCTTTGAATTGCATTAACAGGACCTCTCCGCGGTTCCCTGTTATTTTATATGGATTTATGCATTCCCAGCCGCAATAGGCTTTCGACAGGCCGTCTGCACGTCCGCAACACGGGGCAGTTGAAACTTGTGTGGAAGGCAGACCAACCTTCAGGGCAAAAATACTTTCCCTGACCCAGGGCTTTGGTGGGGGGGGGGCGCGAAGAGACGGGGCGCCCGTGTTTCTCCTTATTTCAGGCCAAGCAACCCCGAGCGATCCAGCCTGGCCTTTCTTTCCAAAGCCGGGAAAACTCCGCCGGTGCGACCCGATCCCCAAGCGCGCTGAATCAGATCCACTATCTCTGGAAGGCCTCGGGGCTTCTGAGCCGGACGGGGGAGTAGAGGGGAGGGCTGTTTATCCTAAGGGTTCGTTTTGCGGCCGAGGGAACCGAAACTACGGCTGGCCGGCGCAATTGCAGGGAGCCCAGTTGAGGATGGCAAGCAGACCCAGATCCGGGAAGTGATCCGGGAAGGAGGCTCAAACTTTAAGGGAGCGTCGTTTTGGGGAGGCACCACGGCCGGGAAATCGCGGGGTTCCCCTTGCAAACTAAAGTCCTTTGGAGCAGGACAAAAAGCCTCACCCAGCTCCGGCTTAACTTAGCGGTGTAAGCAAGGCAGAAACGGCAGGCACGAGGGCTTTCTGGACGACTAGCCCGCCCCGAACAAGCAAGGCGGATCTGCGACCGGCCCACTAAAATCGGTCACACAGCCCGGCTGAGCATCCTAACAAGGGTCGGCCAGTTCAAGGATCTTGCCGGGCCCCAACGGGTTGTAAGGATTTAGGATGGGATAAGGGTTAAGGGCTGATTCCGTCTAAAAAAGAATTGGGTCGGCCAAAGGAAGAGGCGGCTGGATTGCGAAGTTGAAGCTCTCTGTGTACTTCGGTACCATAGCTAGATGGGACAGTTAAATCCAGCTTCCCGGTTTTTTTGAAATATAAACTTAGATGCCGGAGAAATAAATCCCTTTGATCCATGAGACCTCTGTGTGGTGCTCTCCGTCCCAAGCCTCATATCCACCTACAGTGATTACGGGCGTTTTAAATCAACCTAACGAAATTTCTCACCCGTTTCTTTTCTTTTTTTTCCCTTCCCTTCTTCAATATTTCGAGTTGTTCAATTCCAGCAAATGCCCTAAGGCTAACTTTTGGAAGGCAGGTCACGTTATGCAAACCTGGGCTTCATGATGTTGTAGCATCCTCTTTTTTTAAAAAAAAATTTTTTAAAAAAAAATCCCCAATTGCTTATATATTTAACAAACGTCTTGCGGGGGAAGCTTGTTTTATTAACACTTAAAGGTGGCAATACCAGACGGGGGAAAAAACAAAAGCAACGAATAATGCAGGGTCGTTCTCTGCTCCTCTCCCTCTCTTTCTCTTTCTTTCTCTTTCTCTCTCTCTCTCCCTCTCCCTCCAAGCGAGAAGCACCCCCATTTCTCTGAGCTTTAGCAGGAGGCCAGCTTCCAATGGCTCCCTCCCTCCCATCCTCTTCGCCTCCCAATTCTCCTTCCCCCTCCCAACCAAGAGTGGCAACAAAGAAATGGGGAGAAAAAAGAGGGGGGGGGTTTAAAAAAGGCTGGCTGGGATCCGACCCAGTCCCCTCTAGACCCTCACTTCATTTGGTCTAAAGATTCCCGTGTCACTCTCTTGTGTTGTATTATGATATTGTATTGTATATATTCTAAGGCACCTACCATGCACTATCACTCATGCCTCTTGTATATTTGTGCGCACACCCTTACATGCACTCCCACCCACCCACCCACCCACCCCCTAAAAGGGATCTGCTATAAAATGTCTTTATGTAATCGGTTGGATCCCTAAGACTGGATGGCTGCCCCTTTTAAAAACAAACCCGAGGCTTTAAGGTTCAAATTTTAAACGAGTTTGCACTAGAGAGGAGGGGGAGGGGAGAGGGGGGGAGAGAAGAGAGAGAGAGAGAGAGGGAGGGAGGCATTTCGAATAGTCACACTTGTCAAGTGAGACCATCTTTTAGCTCTCAGAAGCAGCAAATCCATGTGAACTCTGGGTGAACCAAGATTGAAGCCATAAATCACCGCTACAAAAGCCGGCTGCTGCCTACGAGTTCCAGACCCTTACCTTTAACGCTTTCGCGGGCGAAGACGGAAAAGCAGAGCTACAAAAGTTCACTTATCTTTGCCAGCCCAAACAAGGAGGAGGGAGGGGGGAGGGGGAGGGAGGGATGCAGCTCAAGGGGGGAGGGGAGAGTGCCCAGCGCCTTCCTACCAGCGAGCGTGCTCGGCTCCTGGAGTGGTTGGTGGTGGTGCTTAGGAGTGGTGGGCTAGGGCTAGGAGGGAGGGCTGCTGCCGGGGAGGGAGACGCGGGACACGTAAGCCAACGTCATTCAACAAAGGCCAGGGACAAGAAAGAGCCGGCCAGGGACGGGGGGGGGACGGGGGGAGGGGGCGACGAGAATGGGAGAAGAGGACCCATTAAGGGAAAAAGAAACCAGACAGCAGACGTTAATCTTGGGGCGGGGGTGGGAGGGTGGTGTGTGTGTGGGGAAATCCCTTGCTACCCCTGGCCCTTTAAGTAAAATCAAACCCAACACGGAACCGCCTGGCAACCAGAGGGGCGACGGGTCTGAAAAGGCTGCAATCCCTTCCAGCGCTCTTGCCTTGGAGTAAGACCGGTGACTTCCCAGGAAATGGAGGGGGGCCAAGCGGGCACCCGGCCGCCCCTGTGCAGCCGGATTCTCCCTCTGACTTTCCCAATCGACCCCCCCCCACACACACACACACACAAGTCTCTCGTTTGCAGGCGTCGCTTGGGTTGGTTTGCCTTCTTCCCCCCCCCCCACTCCCACCCCCCACTCTCGCTCTGGGCTTCATCTCTGAGGAACTACCTCCATTCCTCTTCCCTAGGCTCGCTCTTGGAAGCGACCTGCCGCAGGCGCGCAATTGATGCTCGCCCTTCCTCTCTCTCTCTCTCTCTCTCTCTGCGAAGCATCCGAGCCTTGGGTGCGTGGGAGGGGCGGGCCGAAATATCGCGGGTCCTTCTTGGAAAATTAGCCCGGCACCAAGGATGGGAAGAAAGAAAAAAGAAAAGAGAAAGTTTCACGCACGCACATCCATCGTTGACTAATCTATTATGACAAACAATATGATGGATATAGCTTATGTTAATCGTCCTGGCCTTTCCTCTAGAATTTAACTGTCAGTTAATGGACACCGGAAACTGGAATTCTACATGGCTCGCTAATGGGTTTAGGTATTAGCTAGTTCTAACGATGCATACAAATGCACTTGTCTCTGTGGGCTGCCTTAAGATTTATGGCTCTCTTTTGCCTTCGGTAGCTGTAAACAAGGAGAGGAAAACAGAGGAAAGATATCCCAGCTTTGCCGCACTTTCTGCCGCTTAAGGAGCTCTTTCGCCAGGTTGATTCCCCCCCCCATTTGCCCCCCTTGGAGAGAGAACGGGCGGAGAAGAAATTCTCCAAGATGTAGGAAAGAGTTTTGATGAAGTCCTAACTCTCCCTAAAGCACCGGTCTGTGGATATCCGGGTTGGTCTTCCTTGCCCACGCTTCCCACGCCGCTTAGAAAGGCCTAACGGACAGATAACAGAAGCTGGGGGCCGAGGCGTTTCGCTTCCACTGGGAAAAATAGTGGGGACTGGGGAACCGGGGTGGGGAGGGTGGGGAACCAAGAAGAGCCGGCTAGAAATTTGCCCTCTGCCTCCCCGTGGAAAACACGCGCTCCGACCACAGCAACCCGGGAACAATTGCGTTTCGGGCAGGGGAGGAGAAGAAGAGAGAGAGAGAGAGCTGTAAGCCTTTAACTTCGTACCATTTCTCTTTCTCACCTCTCTCCCTCGCTCCCACCTCTCCTTATAGATTTGATTTCCTCCGGAGTTCTTGGACAAGATCCAAAGCCGTCCGGAGTTTTCGGACCACGCGGCCCGTTGGGGTTGGTGAAAGGAGACGAAGGAAGCCGGTAGTACCGCCCGAGGAAAGAATATGTGGATGGGTTGTTTTGTTTTTGTTTTGTTTTTAAAACCCTGACCTGGCAAACTGGATAGAACGATTCACAATTGGAGACGCGCGCGGAGGTGTGGCGTTTGTGTTTCTGTTTCTAGGTAGGGTTGTCTGAAGGAGGGAAGGCCAGAGGAAGCGGGGGGGGGAAGAGGAGATAAGGTGGGCTCTTAAGGGAGCCTCCAAAAAAGGAGGGCTGGGACTGCCTGCCTTCCTGAGCAGCACCCTTCTCCGCAGCCAGAGATGGCCTTGAGCGCGGCCATTGGGCTACTCAGCTCCCGGACGCCCGCAGCCTTTGCAGAGCGCGGCGACCAAAGCCGTTCAGGTTTCGCTGGCTGGCGGCAGAAGGGGGGGGGATTAATCCCAGATTTATTTGTACCTTCCCTTTGGGGTTCGGGGGGAGCGGTTGACTCTCCCTTCCTTCCCTCTGTCCCTGACCCACTGAAGATGGGGGTGGGGGGGGGCAGAGAGATCAGCCAAGAACCGGGCATCTGCTCAAGCATTTAAAGTCGGGAGGCACTTAATAGTTACCTTTTCAGCCATCAGTCTGTTGTGTTCATTTGGCTGTGGGATCTTTATCATTATAATCGTTCTAGGTGGGAAAAATCTAAATCTATATATCTATATAGCCATATAGCTAGATACCTATGTCTATTATATCATCTCTAGCATATCAGCCTGAAGATTAGTTTACAAGAATTCGGTTTTAGGCAATGAAGTTGTGGCACCTTGGATGAGCAAAATTGCAGTTTAAAAAAAAGTGTAATTATTGGGGGGGGGAAGTACCCCAGCATATAATACCCCCAGCCTAAGCATCTTTACTTGGGAGGAAGTCCTCATGATTTCAATAGCGCTAACGCCTAAGAGCCTGTGCCTCTACTGTTACTGGCATTTTTTTGCTTCTACACTTCATTTGGTATCGTTTTTCAAAATAAAGCACAACTTTCTTTAAAACACTGGGTCTCAAATAACGATAACCTAAAATACATTTGGGGTGTGCTTTGTTTTCAAGGAGTTTGCTAAACATAGTCTACCTTGATTGGGGGGGGGGGAAATGAAACTGAGAGTAAGATTTACAACAACAAGACCCCATTTCTGAAAGTCCTGCTTGCTAATTTCTCAGGGCCTCCTTGCATTTCCTTCACAAAGATGTGTGATCCTAAGTACACACAGAGAGAGGGGGAGGGAGGGAGCGCCAAGGTGTTTTAAGCTGATTTAGCAGGTATGTATGTGTGTACTTTGGGATCTTCTCAGGGCAGATTAGATATGCTTTAGCATTTTAACTCTCCAGCCCAAACACTCTTCTTGTGTAAATCTAAAATGCTTCATTGGGCAGAGGAAAACAAAGAGGCTTTTACAACCTTAGGATATTTCAGTAACTAATTTTGTTACTCTTTTTTTTCTTTTCTTTTTTTTAGCATTTGATCAGGGCAAACCAACCCACGAATATCCTCTTCCTCGGAAAGTGGAAAAATGTATCAAGAATGGAACATTCCTGGGGGACTGGGGATAGGGAACAAGGTGAAACAGAATGGAAAGGGTATAAAATGCTTTGGGAGATGTGCCACTCATTCCAAGGGACTCTTGCTGCTTTGCAACATTCACTTGGAGATCCATAACATACTTAAAACTCCAAGTCAACCTTTTTCCTATTTATTACTGTGCATAATTCAACATTATTGCAGATTAATAAGCCAATAATGATCATCTCAATAGGGAAAGTATACTAGCCAGGCTGCTTTTATGGCCACCCTTATCTTTTCTAATGACCTTTAAAGTAATAACTCATTACAAAATGAGCAATTGTCTGGAGTGCCTTTAATTTTTCCTTTCTTTTTCTCTTTCTCTCTTACTTTCTTTGCTCTTCTTCCCTCCCTCCCGTTTACACACTCTGCTTTCAAGATCTGCCCAGTATACATTTTAACTTAGTTTCCACCAAAAAAAAAGGATAATAATTCAAAGGAGACCTTCTCCAGCTCTGTTTGCAACAGTGGTTAGAAGGACAATTTTTCAAGCTTTCTTGACTGAGCCAGTCATTTTATGTGTCTCTCTAACAGCAACAACAATGCTTTACTTCTACTGTGATTAAAGATCCTTGTAACGGCTCTCTTCAGAGAACTTTTAATTGCTGTTTTAGACCATAAGGGAGATCAGAGATGTTAAGTTGGATTATTGATCTGGAACTCAGGGAGATCCAAGGACAAGATCCTACTCAGCCATGGAACTTAATTGGGTGAGCTGAAGCTAACCACTAATGATTTAGCAAGGATGAATTGGGGAAAGGTATTTGAACTGATATAAAGAGTATTGAGCCCTTCATGCCAAGATACAGAAGTATTGCATAAATAAAGAAATGTTTTTGTTGCAGAAAATTATGTGCCCAATTTAAATAATGTGCATTTTTAGTAGGAAATAAATCTCTTGGTACGGAGACATTTCTTAAGGTGGGCTTATTTATAGCTGAAATTGTAAAACTGTTTTCTAAGATTTGCAAACTGAATGGTTTCTTGGCAAATACTGCCATATCTCAATGGAAATTGCAACAAGGAGTGGGCATGAATTTCTTTAATCTCCTAGGTACTGTGTCTCTTTAATGAATTGCTTCCAACTGTATTACTGGCAGCTTTTAAAGTAAAACATAGCCATCCTGCTTTAGAACTTTAGATTTCAATTGCCGTATACATACATACATACTGACTGACTGGAAATCAGGCTAATGTGTTTCTTGTACATGTTTTGAATGAAAGCATGCTTTGATTTTACCAGATATAGGCATGAGGTTTGCTTCTAATAGATATTTCAGAATAGAGATAGTAATAAATAGGAAGGGAAGAGATCACTTTAGGCCTTCCCTATCTGTATAATTTTGTAGGTTACCCAATTGCAAAACAAAAACTAGATTCATTCAATAGGCTATCGGTATGGAAGCCATCCATTATTATATCCTTGCACCATTCTCTCTATAACCAAATTGAAAAAACAAAACAAAACATAAGGAACTCAGAATATGGCAACTGTTCCCATAATTTGCTTAGCATTGGTTTCCCAAATTGGGTTTTTTTTTTAAAAAAAAAAACCACAGGAAAATTTGGAACCATTACAGTATGCAAGACAATAGAAAAATTCTTATTAATTATGTGATCCTGAGATTAAAAACAAGTATTTTATCTTAAAACATCTGTGATGTTTTAGCATCTGCAAAAGCAGACTTTTGCTCAACTGAATTGCTTTGCTAACTTAATTTGTGATGCAAATGAAAATCAGATGCATAAAATCTGTAGTTAGGAGGGTTAAACATCCAGTTTGAAACGGTTGGATCAGAGCAGGTGAAAAATATATTTCAGTGGACTTGAACGTTTCCCATATCCGTGTGAATTTGCTGCTACCCTATTCTATGATGTGTGGAGTAAAATATTAATCATGAGAGGATGATCTAATGTGCAGAGATCGCTGTCCCATATACTGTAGCTGGAATTGGCTGCATAATTCCAAGCATCCTGTCATGAAATCCTTTGTTGTTGTTGTTGTTGTTTGAAATAGGTATAATAAAATGAATCCAAAAAAAGCAAAGATCTTGTTGCTGCTTTTTAAAGGTGGAGCACTTTCTGGTGGGGTGTATATGGTTACATAGCATGTTCATGCAGCAAAGGTGTCAACTAATGGATAGCTCACCAAAGTAGCATCAATACTACTGCTAAAAGAGGACCAATCCTAGGAAGTGCTGCAGAGTCTTTAAAAATAACGCAAAGGTTGCTGTGGATTTCAGATGGATACAACTAAAGATCAAGTTGTTTGAGCCATGCAGAAAAGCCATAGAGAACTGCAGCCATATTTAAAATGCAGAGGAGCTTTCACACCGACAGTAGATTGAAGACTTATTCTGTCACATAAGCATTTCAGAGCAATCCTTCTCATTCAGGAGAATGAGTTTCACTAGTCAGCCCCCAAACTATTCAGCCCAGGGTGTCTTCTTTCCCTGTGGTGGGCTGATGAGGTTGAGGCAAGTCAACATGAATGAATACTTGCGGGTGGAGTTCTGCATACTCTGCACATAGCACTGGCCTTAGCTATTTCCACAACTAAAGCAAAGAGCTAAATGAATGTCCCCCTCCCACATGCACAGGGTGTGCTTGTGTATGTTAATGGCAAGGGGGCATAGTTAAGACACTACATGCAGAAGGCAGTTGCTCAGTTTTTCCAAAAGGCACAGCCACCATCACCCAAATCCCACCACCCGTGGAAGGGCTCATGCAGACTGGTGCTGAGATCTTGCTGTTTAGCCTACAGTTTTTCAAATCCAACAAAGTGATAAATTTGATGCCAAGTTTATTACAAGTTTATTATCTTAGCTGTTGCCATAACAACAACATAACCCAAGAAACAATGGAATAGGGGGGGGGGAGAGGCAGGAGAGAGGAAAAGAAATTGAACACTTTATTGCTCAAATGCAACTACGGTTCTGTCCATTGGGCAGAAAATGAAATCAGCTTTTACAAAATCCTCTGGAATGTGCGGAAGTGAGCATGTTAACCATTGCATAGAAACATGAGTTTCAAATGGGTGGACTGATACTGGATCTGGAAACTTCTGCTTCATTTCCTAGTACAATAACTAGAACGTATCTTATGAAAGATAGTCAACATCTTCATCCCCATTTCATCCTATACTGGAGGTCAGTTCTGAAGTTCAGTTCCCTGGGCAGTCTTCAAAGTGACAAGTACTCTTTATAATCCCAGTCCTCTTTTATTTAGGCCAAGGATCCAGGGGAGTAAGCCATGGATTGCCTTTTCAGAAGGTGCTGTCCTACCCTGGATGTATTTCTGTGAACGGTATAAACAGAGACAATATTCAGTTTCATCAACACAATTGCTAGTGGGACATAACACAACATTGACTTAATGCTTTCACATTATTTTGTCTTAGATTTATGGATGATGGACAGTTCCATGCTGGATTCCCATTATTCCTTATGAAATGTGAACTCTTCTCTAGTTGTTAGCCACGTGTTGGCACTGAAAAAAGCAGAGGAGGAGAGAAAGATAGGCTTGTGCAAAAAGGGTCCAACCCAGTTCTCATCGCTGATTTGGAAAATTAAACCCCATATGGATTTTTGATTTAACTCAATAAAAAGCAAAAAAACCCCATCTAATCAATTTGAAACCATCCAATTCTGCTCAATGATTTGATTCAGAAAGCTGACTCGATTCAGAGATTTGACTGAAGTGCCTTCACACTAATCAAATAATCACACACTAAAGAGCATTTGTTAATGCTTAAACAGGGGGGGGGAAAGCTGAATTTAAGTGTGTTGGGAGATATCTAATTCATTAAGTGATGGGGGAAGAGCTTCAATTTTAAACCATTATACCTGCTGTCTATAGGTAAAAGCAACCTTGACACTAATTTCCACGTGCAGATAAACCAGACAAGCTAACCCAGATGCCCCTGTATCTTTGACATCCTAGGCATTTAGAAAATGTACTGTGGACACCCGTGTGAAAAACTACAGAACTGGTAATATATAACTGTATTGATCACATTCCACTGAGGCTAGAAAATGTCATGAACCAATTTCTAAGGATCAACATATTCTGTTCAACTGAAGTTACTTTTAATCAAAGGGCATTGAGGCTTTCTTATATCACACCCAAGGGTAAAATACTACTTTCCTAGGGTAGCAGCTTTTAAAGAATTGCAAGGAGAGTAAATATTTTCCAGGTAAAAGCATTGGGTTGGCTTACATGAGAAAAAATAAATCTAAATATTTAAATGTACTTAACTTTGAGAAAATCTTAACCAGTAAAAATGTTTAGAACATTGTGGGAAAAACTCATGTAAACAAGAACTGTAAACAGGATATATGATGAGACAACCAGAATGACTAGATAGAAAAGGAATATTATATTGATGTGATTATTATTTGTAGAAATATTAGAAAACTTTTATACTCAATTATCATTCATTAAAACAAGAATTGTATTAACTTAAGGCTGGTAAAAGAGAACATTATGGGGAAAAGAGGAAATCAAGTAAAGTTATCATGCGGATTACAGATTATAGGAATTAACTGTTAGTGAATGTTTTTTAAATGTAAACCCAGACAACGCACTGTCTACCAAATATTAAGGTGATTATGTTAAAAAAATAATAAAAGATATTTTTTAAAAAAATATATTTTCCAGGGGGCATTTAACACATCCAGGATCATCTACTGAATAATCTACCCCTTTGCAAGGAACCTACACCTGGCAACTTTATAAAGGGCAGCACTTGCTTAAGAACAGGATGTTTATTGGCCAACTTAGTAGACCCATACGTCAGTCTCTCCTCCAGCACTGGAAGGAGCAAGGGAAAGTCCTAGGAGAGATTGGGGAGGGGAAGCAATGGGAAATTGCTCATACTAATTCTGATTTATTGATGGCAAAACAAATTCATTAAGGGCTGATTGTGAAAGAGCTTACCTCTTTAAAAGCCAGCCAAGGTGTGGAGCTTTTAAAGGCCTACTCCGTTACAGAAAAGTGAAAGGAAATTGGCAGGAAAGTGAATCGACCATTCATCCTGAGATGTATGTATCTCTGCCCTTCCCATCCTTTGCATTTTAAGATCATAGCTACTGGATTGGGACCATACATAAAGAAGTCAACAGCCCGCTGCATTGATAAAGTTCTACTTCCCTCCTTAGGCGATAAGATTTCAAGCAACTGGTATGATTCTGATTATTTCAAATCAACAGGAATGCAAACTTCTGAGAAAGAGAGAGTTACATTTTACTCTATATCTCACCACAGGCTTTGATTATATCTTACTCTGCCTAGGATCAACCCGAAGGCTGTTTATGCTTCAGCTGTGTGCCTGTGTTTGGCTGACACATGGGCTCGGCGTGATACTCACAGGTCAATTAGACCTCATGTGCGTACAACAGATGCTCAGCTAAAGTGCATGATCTGTAGTACTAAACTTTGCAACTGATTAGCATGCTGGTATTTGTTGACATCAGAAACATAGCTGATGCCCAGTAGTGATGAAGGGTAAAGTCCTACTTGAATGCTGACCTTGTCTGGATTAGAAATATAAAATAGTGCTATATAAGAAAATATATATACATATATGCATTTATGATTGTAAGAGGCGCAAGTCTACCTTGAGGTAAGATGGGTGGCCTATGATTTTATAAACAAATACAATTTTGCCTGCCACTTCCTATTTAATTTGGTGATAGGAAAAAAATATTTTTCAATGTTATTTCACAGGAGAACTTATCTTAAGTCCTCGGGGCAGAGTATGAGGTTCTTACATTTATTTAATAATGAGCTTACATTTATTTAATAATGAGATGGTCACTGCTGTTCAGGATTGATGGTAGTGCCCAATTTTTCATTGTTCCATTGTTTCTAGTAGCCCTCTTCAGCCTTCCTGGCTTCCCCCCCCCCCAATTCACTTCCACCAGAAGGAAGACGTTTCTTCGGCAGTTTCTTTAGATCAGAAAGCAGGAGAAGTCAGGGAGGTTTCCAAATGATGGAGAGAAGACTACAGGTCATCCTCAACTTACAACAGTTTGTTTAGTGACCATTTGAAGTTACAACGGCATTGAAAAAAGTGACTTATGACCGTTTTTCAAACTTATGACCGTTTCAGCAACCCACAGTCACATGACTTCCATTCCGATATCTAGACAACTGATTCATATTTATGACGGTTGCAGTGTCCCGGGGTCACGTGATCCCCTTTTGTGACCTTCTGACAAGCAAAGTCAATGGGGAATGCCAGATTCACTTCACGACCTGGATTATCAATTTAACCACGGCATTGATTCCCTTCACAAACGTGGCCAGAAAAGTCGTAAAATGGGACAAAACTCACTTAACAAATTCTGGGCTTCATTGTGCTCATAAGTCAAAGACGACCTGTAACAGAAAGTAGATCAGCTGACTTTCTCCTAATGTGTTTAAATTCAAAAATGCCAACTAAGAAATACAAAATTAATTTTCAATCCCCCTACAAATAAAATGGAAAAACAGGAAATTCTTTAGATGGGGAGGAAATCATTCAGCAGACTTTGGCACAGCGTTAGGTGAAACTTAAAACTTGTTTCTGAAGTATTGTTGATATCAGAAATATTGCCAGTACCCTATTGATCTTATTATATTCTACACAATCCAACGAAATCAGCTTTGTTATGGGGCTATTTTCCATCAACCAACCTTAATCCTACAATCCTATGTGGCTCTTAGTAACAACCTGTTCTTGACAATCCATTGTGTCAGAGCATGTAAGCATTAGAGCAGGGGTTTCAAACTGCCAGCCCACGGGTCGGTTGTATCATACGGAGGCCGTGCCCATCCCAGCTCCAACGATGCAAAAAAAAGTCGCAATATGTCGCGACATGTCACATGACACCCGTGCATTAGAAAATACATGCTGTACACAAATGGCTCTAATTTGCAGAATCAGATATGCTATGTTTTAATGTTGTCAACCCATAGTAATATATGGGAAGGCAGAATACTTGGCAGGACTCTCCAACTAATCTATTCTGCATAGATACAGTGCATTTTTCTGGTGAATATCTGTGGAGACTCTTCATATATTTGTTCTACAGCAGAACATAGTCTCTCCAATTACCCTAGAGCGGGGGTAGGCAACCTTGGCTCTTTTATGACTTGTGGACTTCAACTCCCAGAATTCCTGAGCCAGCCATGCTGAGGGGAAAGGGAGAGTTTCCAAGCTGAGCCATGCTGGCTCAGGAATTTTGGGAGTTGAAGTCCATGAGTCATAAAAGAGCCAAGGCTGCCTACCCTTGCCCTAGAGCAGTGATGGCGAACCTTTTAGAGACCAAGTGCTCAAAAACTGACCCTGCCCCCGCTCCACCCCCTGCCCCACCCCCATCCCACCTGCCCACAGGGCCACTCACCACCTCCAGGGCCCGCTGCAGATCACCCAGGCAGCCCAGCAGTGCCATGGCAGCCACACCCTCTGCCCATGCCCTGCAGCATCAACTGTGCATGATGGGGCATGATGGCAGAGTCTTGTCTA